TCCCTAGACCCAGCTCCAGATCAGGAACTCAAAGACTTAGACCAAAGGGGCAGTGGTCAGACTTTGCCCTACATCGGACTACTTTGGAAGTACAGAAAGCTTGCAGGTCCACAGCCTGCGCCGTCTCTGAGATCCTGGAATAATGAAATACTCAGCACCCCACCTCCCCAAATAATAGCATAATCAGTCCAGACATTCCCTCCAGAAGTGTGCAGAGTCCAAATATAATATAAAATCTGAAATTTGGATATAGACTGGAAGAATAAATAAACAAAAATATAATTCCACCATTAAAAGCTATTATGGTAGCAGGGATGCTCAAGAGAATGTTTTCAAAACATCTACAGGAAGAGGCTCAAAGAAGAATGCATTTTGAGTACAAGTTCAACTAGAATTCCTGGAAAGATGAAGTAAGTGTTTGAAAAAAGCTCAAAAATGGTTTTATAAATGAAATGAGATCACCAGAAGAAGCAATTGGAAAAGAAATGAGAGTTGTAATGGAACAAATTGGAAAGGGAATTAACAACTTGGCAAGAGAAAAAACTTTGCCCAAGGAACAAACCCCCTGAAAATTAGAATGGATCAAATAGAAGTTAATGATTTCACAAGACATTGAGAAATATTAAAACAAAGTTAAAGGACTGAAAAAATATGCAAGAAAATGGAAGGAACCTTATGGAAAAAATAACAACTGGAAAACAGTTTGAGAATATATTTAAGAATCATTGGACTGCCTGAAAATCGTGGCCAGAAAAAGAGCCTAGACTTCATATTTCAAGAAACCATTAAAAAAACAAACAAACAAACAATTGTTCACATCTCTCAGAACCAGAGAGCAAAATAGAAATATAAAGAATCTGGCTTTTCAGGTCACCTCCTGAAAAAAATCCCAAAGGAACCCAGAAACATTATAGCCAAAATCCACAGCTTCCAGGTCAAAGAAAAAATATTGCAAGCAGTCAGAAAGAAAGAATTCAAATACTGAGGAGCCAGGATCACACATGATTTAGCAGCCACCACTTTAAAGGAGTATGGAGAGCTTGAAATATGATATTTCAGAAAGCAAAAAATACAGGTTTACAATCAAGAATAAGTTACCCCACAAAATTAAACATAATCCTACAAGGGGAAAAAATGGATCTTTAATAAAAGAGTAGACTTCCAAGCATTCCTGATGAAAAGACCAGAGTTGCATAGAAACTTTGACATGCAAACACAGGAGTCAGTAGAAACACAAAAAGGTAAACACAAACATAAGGGATTAAACAAGGACAAACTGTTTACATTCTGATACGGGGAGATGATACATGTGTCCCCTCTGAACTCTATCATATCTATCATAGAGGGAATCTATAGACAGAGGGCCTGGGAGTGGTTCTGTTATATCTTGATGATCTTAAAAGAAGACTGGAAAGAGAGGGAAGAAAACTACTTTAGGGGGAGGAAAGGGAGACAAAGGTTAGGGAAAATTATTTCATATAATTGAGGTGCTCAAGTAGAAGTCTATACAATTAGGAAGGGGTTGGGGGGAGCTGGAGATGCTTGAACCTCTCATCTGAACTGGTCAAAGGCAATAAGAATACACACAGAGTTGGGTACAGAAATGCATTTTACTCAACAGAAGGGAAAGAGGAGAAGGGGGGGCATTTAGAGGGAGGATAAATTAAAGGCAGGGTTAAACTTAAGCAAAACCAACTCTAAGCATGGGCAAAAATATAGCAACTCTCATTGTGGTGGCAAAGAATTGGAAACTGAGGGGGTGCCTGTCAATTGGCTGAACAAACTATGTTCTATGAATGTGATAAAATATTACTGTGCTATAAAAATGATGGCAACTGGAGGCTTCCTCTTGGTCTGAGGATTCTGACCTTGGTAATTCCACTGCAGATTAAGTTGGAAACTGGATTAGAGACCCTACACCATCTTCCCAGTCCCTCAGGAGTCATCCTGGATTACCTTGCTGTCTCTTAGTCCTCATCCAATCTGTTGTCAAGGCCTGTTGATTTCATCTTAGCAACGTCTCTCAGATGTGCCCCTCTTTCTCTCTTCTGACGCTGAGGCCACTCAGGTGCGGGCCCTCATCACCTCATGCCTTGATTATTGCAATAGCCTTCTCGTGGGTCTGCCTGCCTCCAGTCTCTCTCCACTCCAGTCCATTCTTCATTCAGCCGTTAAAGTATAGGTCTGACCATGTCCCCATTCCCCCCCCCCCCCAAAAAAATAAAACAAAACTTGAGTGTTTTCCTGTTGCCTCCAGAAACAAATACACAATGCTTTTTGGCATTCAAAGCTCTTCATAACCTCGCTCCCTCCTACTTTTCCGGTCTTCTTAGACCTTATTCCCCAACATGTATTCTTTGATCTAGTAACATGGGCCTCCTGACTGTTTCATGCACAAGACACTCCATCTCTTAGTTCTGGATATTCTCACTGGCTGTCCCCCATGCCAGAAATGCTCACCTTCCTCCATTCTGATTACTGACCTTCCTTGTTTCCTTTAAGTCTTAACTAAAATCCCACCTTCTATAGGAAGCCTTCATCATCCTTCTTAATTCCAATATTTTCCCTCTGTTAATTATTTCCTATTTATCCTGTACATAGTCTGCTTTGTATATATTTATTTGCATGTTGTCTTCTCCCTTAGATTGTGGGCTCCTTGAGGACAGGGACTGTCTTTTACCTCCTTTCATATCCCCAGTATTTAGCACAGTGCCTGACACATAGTAGGTGCTTAATAAATGTGGGTTGATTGATTGCTCTGTTTTGGGCGTCAGAGCCACACAGCTGCTGATTGCTTCTGAACTTGTTCCTTGTTTAGTACACAGCTTAGTATGCTCGATTGCTCCTCACCCTAGAATGCTGTACTTAGGTATAGGTCTTTTCCTTCGTTCACCCTAGATCTGTGACTCAGAATTGGGTAGTGTGGGACAGAGCTGCCAGGTGGAACCTGTTCCTCTTCCCCATACAAGTTTTGGGATCTTTATGCTCGATCTGGGCCCTCTTTTTGCCCTGGTGCACAGTGTCTCCGTGTGCTAGAATGATTTAGGCAGCAGGTTTGTGGCCAGACCCCATCAGTAGACCTGTCTGTCTCCCTGTGCCAACCTGGAGTGGAAAAATGACTTGCTGCAATTTTTTTTTTCCTTGGATTCCCCGAACAAGATCTGGTGCATTTTCTAGATTGATTTAGAAATGTTGTGGGGTGGGACACCAAGTTGGAGGGTAGGGGGAGCTCACTATGCTTCTTCCTGCTACTCTTTGATCTTGGCTTCACCTATGAGAACAAATTTAATTAAAGCAGCCCCAGAATCAGCTGCCTTCAGGTAGCTGGCAAACAGCTCGCTTTGTGGCCTATCTGAAGTAAGACTTAGGGATGGGTTTGAATAACGTATATGCTAGTTGTGTTCCAAAAGTTTGTTTGGGTTTTGGATGTTTGGAACACAGTGCGTTTCTCCATACAAATTAGTATTCTGAAAACAAGTAGTATTTCAGTAACATTGTCAGTTAAATAAAACTTCTGAAGGGCTAACCTAGGAACCTCCTACTATTGAAATATTGTTTGTACAGGAAGGAAAAATTTAGGATGCTGGAATGACTACATCTGCCTCTTAGCCTTGGCCACTGCTGACTCCCTGGGGAGAGGGAAGTCCTTTTTTCTTCTCCTGCCTCAGATACTGACTGCTTAGCCAGAAGGGAACCTAGAAATGTGGTGGCTTGTATAATGGATAATGCAGTGGACTTGGAACCAGGAAAACCTGTGCTCAAATTCTGTCTCTGCTATTTCTTAGCTTTGTGGTGATGGGCAACTCTGAACTTCAATATCCTCATCTGTAAAATGAGGATAAAACCTGTAGGTCCTAATTCACAGGATTGTTGTGAAACTCAAATGAAGTAAGTAAAGTGTTTTGCAAACTCTAAAGCTTTACATAAATGTCACTTATCATCATCACCATCATCATCATCTGGCTCAGGAGACCTCAGTGAAATACAGATGCTATCCAACTGTAAATATGTATGGGACTCTGTAAACTGGAAGTGCTTTTGCCTCTGTGCTTCCTAGAGGTCATATTAATGACCCTTGTGAATGAGTACCCATTATGAAATAACTTGTAGCTGCCATGTTAGTATATCTTAGGGACCAAAATGCCATTAAAAAAATTCGAATTCTGTCATGTTACCATGAGAAGGTCCCAAAACTCACAATTGAAATAAGACTCCCCTGGTGATCCTGACTCATCTATACTCTGGCCTGATATGACCATACAGAGATACCATTGTTTTCAATGAAGGAGGGAAACCACAAGTCTAGGAAAGCTTAAGTTGCTCCTAGGATACTTTGTTTATTTCTGGACCCCACAACTATTAAAGGATTGGAGAGGATTCAGAAGAGACCCTCTGAAGTGGTGACAGGGTGAGAGGATCAGATCTGTGAGAAGAGTGAAAGAAATGAGGATTCTATAACCTGGAGAAGAAAAGGTTTCAGGGCAACTTAATAAGTAGAGGCTGGTGACCAACTGTTGATGCCACATAGCCCAAAGGACTTGAGGAAGAGCTTCTTGATATTAAAGACTGGGAAGCACTCTAACCAGTCGCAATTTCTCCTTTGAGGAGTAGGTTGTCATCTAATAAACATAAAGGATCTGTTGATATTAAAGACTGGGAAGCACTCTAACCAGTCGCAATTTCTCCTTTGAGGAGTAGGTTGTCATCTAATAAACATAAAGGATCTGTTGATAGCTTATAGGGAACCTCTTGGGTTCCTTCCTAGCTTTAGACTTTTTTGATTTTTTCATATTGGAAAATTATACTTCCCTTGTTTGAGGAATGAAGATTTGTGGGGTGTAGAGAATTTGACATAATGAGAAAATGTTGGATTCCCATTTTCTGACATTTTTATATTTGTATTTTTTGCTTGGTTTCTCTTGAATTATTTGAAAGATAGATCCATCTCCTCTAGTTTATGGTGGTATTGAATAAGGAATGACTTTTTCTTTTTCTAACAGCCAGAAATGGATTTCTCAGAGACTTCCCTCAGAACGAAAGCTCAGGATCCTATCAGGAGCCCACAGGCAGATGTAGTCACCCTTCCTCCAACCATTACCAACACCCTGGAACATATCGTGGGCCAGTTGGATGTTCTCACCCAGGTAGGAAACAATTTTTTATGAGGGGAGAAAACTCTGCATCGAGTCTATTAGAAGAATGGTTTCAAACTCATCTACTTCAGTGAAGTATTTAGTAACAGACAAACCCCTTCCCTCACTTGCGTCCCATTTCCTAAACTCTGTATTTTCTAGTGAAAAATATGAACCCTCTAAGTGAGTTGAAGTGCAGCATAGTATACTTCACCAGGAGTCATAAACCCGGGGTCCTTGTGATGAGCTGAGGCTAATCCCTAACTTGGTAACAGTGGCTGGTGGATAGAACCAGTGCACTGTTGTGTGACTCAGACTGAGGATTTCCTCAAAAGAGATCAGTCAGAGGGAACTGGGATGCAAGGTTGCCAAAAGGGAAGTCCAGGAATCATTTACCAGACAATGAAGTCAGTAAACAATGAGGGTCAGCGGAGCTTGTTGCCATCAGTGGCATTGTTGGGTCACTCCGTAGCCTGAAGGTCATTGCCAGCTGTTAAAAATACACTGCTTTCCAGGGCCACACACAAGCTCTAGCTCGTCCTGTACAGTTCTAGCCTTGGTTCTGCTTTTTTAATTTTGTGACCTTCGGCAAATCCCTTTCCATGTCTGGATTTCAGTTTCTTGCAGTGCAGAATGAGAGCTGAATTAGATCATCTCTAAGGTCTACCTTAGCAATTCTGTCTTTTTTCCCACATCTCACAAGCTATTCCAACTCAGTGCTTCCTGTTTTAAGCAAATGTACCGTAGTCATGATGGATATATGAGCAAATTCTATAAAATGTTTAAAGAGAAACCAGTACCTATGTCATGCAAATTATTCTCAAAAGCTGAAAAAGAAAACAAGCACTGATTTTGAGAATTGGTAGGGACTCAGTGGACATGTAGTCCAAACTATATGTAAAGGAATCTCTGACATAACATACCTCACAGGTGGTCATCTAATCTCTGCTTAAAGATCTCCAAGGAAGAGCATTTTACCACCTCTAGAGACAAGCTACTCCACTCTTGGACATGTCAAAGTGACCACGGGTGGGGAACCTGCAAACTCGAGGCCACATGTGGCCCTCTGTGTCCTCAGGTATGGCCTTTTGACTGAGTCCAAGTTTTACAAAACAAATCCTTTTAGTAGGGGGATTTATTTTGTGAAATTTGAGTTCATTCACAGGGATGCACTTGAGGACCTAGAGGGCTACATGTGGCCTTGAGGCTGCGCATTCCCCACCCCTGGGCCAAGCAGAACTAGTCTTTTTAACACACGACAGCCCTGTAATTACTAGAAAACAGCAATCCTATTCCCCTTGCATCTTCTTTTCTCCAAACTAAATATTCCTAGTTCCTTATATGTCATGAATTCAAGGCCCTTCTTCACCATCCTGGTTAGCCTCTATACACTCTCTCTAGCTTATTATTTTACCAGGCTCCTTTTATTGTGAGATAAATATAGTCCTAATACCTAAACCCAGAAGTTTAAAGCAAAGTTAATTATAGATCCCTATCGCTTAAGTATGTCAATGCAAAACTTTTAAATAAAATCCTAGCAAAAAAGATTGTAGTAACAGTCAAGTTGGACTTATCTCAAGTGTGCAAGGATGATTCAATATTAGGAAAGCAATGAACATAATTAGGCATGTTAAAATAAAAACAACTAAAATCACACAGTTGTATTAATAGATTTTTTTAAAAGCTTTCAACAAAGACAATACGCATTTATCCTATAAACCTAACAATCATAGGCATAGAAAGGTCATTTTTAGAATGATAAAACATATATTTAAAGCTAGAAGCCAGTATAATTTACAATGGGGAAACACTGGAAACTTTCTCAAATATAGGAGCAAAGCAAGCTGCCCCTTTCACTGTTGTTACTTGACATAGTTACAGAAATGCTAACAATAAGACAAGAGAAATTAAAGACATAAACTTTAGCAAAGAGACACAGTCATTCTTATCTGTAGATGTTGTGATGGTTTACAAAAGCAAATAGACATTTTCCATGTAATGTCTGACATTCAGCACTTTATAGACAACATCTCATTTGATTCCCACAACAAACCTGTGAGGTAAATAGCATTTCCCCTATTTTGCAGATGAAGAAACTGAGATTCAGGGAGGTTAAATGACTTTTTCCAGGTTACACAGCTAGTAACTGAAGCAGGCTTTAAACCCAGGCCTCTTCAGACTTTAAGGCCAATACTCTTTCCACTATTTGCTTTCCCCCACACTGAAAGTTCTAATTTTGTGTCTACCAGTTTGCTCAATCTGGGTCTAGCTGTCATTTAATTGTTTTTAAGTTCTTTAGGGTATTGTGTGTGTATACAGTGTAGTATATGCATGTGTATTATATAGTTCCTCTTAAATATTAAATATTAATCTAAAGGACTGCTAGGGTCAGACTGAGGCTATGTATTTTTTTAAACAGAATGGATAGATTGATTTTCAATGAAAAAAACATTTTGGATTAATTAGTCATTAAAATAATGTAATAAATTAAATGCTGTGGCATGTGCAAGGTATTGTGTTAGGTACTGGGGATATACAAAGTAAAAATGATAACCAGTCCTTGAGAAACTTAGTTCATTGGGGAAGCATCATTTCAGTTTAATCTCCACAGTCATTCATTAGACACCTGCTGAGTTCAAGGCACTGTGCTAGGTGCTGCCAGGGTTGCCAAGACAAAAATGAAACAGGCCCTGCCCTCTTGTAGGTGTAATACAAGATTTACATAAATAAATATAATAGAAAGGAAATCGAGGTGTGAGAGAGTCCTCATAGTTGGGAGGACTCAGGGGAGGCTTGAGGACTCTGAGCTGGGCCTTGAGGGAGCTAAGGATCAGAGGGTCATGGGGAAGGCAGAGTCTGGTCCAGGTCAAAAGAGAGGTCTGTGTGCAGAAGCACATGGGTAGTCCCACAGTAGTGTATTGTGTCCAGTCGAATGTTTCTGGAATGTAGAATGCATGGAGGTGGGTAATGGGAAGGCAGTTTGGAAGAAGTGCGCTGGAGCTGATGGGGTGAAAAAAGGTTAAAAAGCTGAGTCACCTGTAGGATAAAGGACACTAGGGAGCCCCTGAAGATTCTTGAGCAGGGAAGTGACACCAATACATGAATCCACAAGTATTTATTTACTAACTGTTGTGACAGTGAATGGAATCAGGAAGACTTGAGTTCACATCCTGATAAATCCCTAAGAATGCCAAAGCTAATGGGGCAGAGAAAGGTTCTTACCAGGAGGTCCCCAACCCAGTGGAATCACAGGTCTGGTTTAAAAACAAATGTGCCCAGGGCTGGGCATATATGCTGAGGATACAGATCAAAAGAAAGACAGCCCCTCCCCTTGAGGAGCTTACATTCTTCTGGTCACACATGTTTTAGGAAGATTATATTGGTCAATAGAGAGAAAGGATGGATTGGTGAAGTGAAAGCCTACAAGTAGGGAAACCAGTTAGATGACAGCCATGTGACTGGGAAGTAGGACATGAAGGCCAGAGATGTTGTGAAGCTTTAATTGACAAGACTTGGAGAGTGAAGGATGACCCCAAGGCTCTGAGGCTGAGGGTGACCCTAACAGAAATGGGCAGTTTTTAGGGGAGAGGAGGATAGAGTTCTGTTTGGGACATGTTGAATTTGAGATGCCTCTGGAACATCCAGGTGGAGAGAGACATTTAGCAGGTGATTGAGACTAGAGTTCAGGAGAGAGGTTTAGTTGCCCACTTCCCATATGGAATCAGTTTTCCCCTGCAACCCACCTCTGTTCTGAAGTAAGCCCTTAGGATTTGTTTTAATTATGTAAGTGCCATGATTTGATGTTATGGCAGAAACATTCAGGTCAGGACTCACTTCCTTCTCTACAATAATGAACAGTTGATTGGAAGAGGAAAAGACTTTAAGTTTATGTAGTCTAGTCTTGATGAATGAAAAAGCCAGGATTCACTCCTAGACTTCAATTCATTAAGTGCAGAGCACATCTTTTCTGAATTTTTTTATCTTCCCCCAGGGCCTACCTAGCCCAGGACTGTGCTCACAGTAGGTGATTGTTTCTTGATTGATTGCTTATGGCCTCATCCATTATTGGAAGAAGAGACCCAGAAATGAATCTTAGCAGTTAGGGTAACTGGACTTCTCCTGGGTTGGGATGAGTAAATCCCTAGATGAGAAAACAGTTTTGCAGACTGAAGAAACCTGGAACATCGCATTTCTTTAGATACTCACTGCTTATTATTTAAAGGTCCACTTTTGTGCCTGGGGGGCATATCAGTCTGCCACTTGCCCCCAAACCATCAGCCCAAATACTAAGGCAAACTAGACTGGTTGTGAGGGCCCACTTTAGGCTTGGAAATGTATCCGAGGGACCTCCACTTCTGGTCCTCCCTCCCTCCTGCTGCTGTGATTCTGAAAAGGCTCCAGGGAGCAAGGGTCTTAGAATGGATCACTTTCCTTGGCGTTATCAAATTGCCTGACTCCTCCTTATCCTTCAAGGCTCTGCTCAGGTGCTCTCTCCTCTCCAGGAATCCTTCACTGACTAATCCAGCCCGCTGTGAGCTTCCTAGCACTTATTGCTCATCCCACTCATTTGGCTTTAGGGTAGACTGTTCATTTTCTTCTGTGGATCCTGGCCCTCAACTGAGTTGTAAATTTCTTGAGGGCAAGAATTGGGCATTAAATATTTTTGAACCCTAGTGCCTAGTGGTCTGTGGTGGGTCCTTAGTAAAGGTTTGTGGGTGCTGTTGCCGATGTTGGTCCTGAAGGCTAAGTCAGATGATTTTCTTACATCCTTCGTTTGCTGTTCACTCAGGTTGCCTGTTCTCACAGGTACTTCCCTTATGGATGGGCACTGTGTAAATGTCCTGCCTTCTTTTATCCTGCTTTTGCTTGGGCATTTTCTCCCTGAAGGAGTCCAGATAGTCCTAAAAGCTCCAGTCTTGTCAACTCACCATTATTGTTCAAGTCCTCTCCCCTAATGTGGCTCTCATGCACTTCTGAGTGGTTGAAGAAACCATTCATCCTTTGGTGTTCAG